CTGCAACCTTTAATAAACGAATATATATAATCCTTTTGGATAAATGTAACTCTCTAATCTTAGAGAACATATTATTAAGGGTATGTTAGGGAGAAATAATTTTAAAAATCATTTTACTCCAAAATTAGTTTTAATCACGTTTTATAAAATTCATAATTTTATTTATTTTTAACTATACATACTTCAAAAAAATATTTTTTATTTGTAAAATATTCTCTAAAACAAACGCTAGCTAAGTAAAAAATAAAAATGCTGCACAAAAAATATAATTTAGATGCAACATAAGAATATCTTCAAGAGACTATCTAAACCCTTATTTTACAACCATTAAAAATATATTTGTTTTGGTCAATATGAGTTTTTAAATAGTGACTTTTTAAATAATATGTTATTAAAAAGTAGGAAAAAAGTTTTAAATTTATGAGCAAAATATTATATTATAAAAATATATGGTTGAAAATAAGTTTCAGAAATGAAGAATTTTGTGAAAAATGGTTGTCAAAAAGGAGCGAAATACAAAATATTCTTTATTTTAAAGAGCTAATGCTTAAAACAAGTTTTAAAAGACTATATTTTTATTTTTTAAAATCAATAACGGGTTGAACTCTTCAAATTCAGAACATCAAGCTCACTTTCTAAAACATAATAATTATATTTAATAAGTTTCAAATTTTAATACTCTATTTCTTAAAATATTCAAAGCACATTAAAATTGATTGGTCATTTATATATAAAAAAATATGTTAAATAATTTATGAGGCGAAATTAATAAGGGTGTGTTTTGGACACAATCTTTTGAAATAATGTATTAATGAATAGTAGATGATGGAGAATATGTGGTAAAAATGAAGGAAAAGTTATTGATGTGATGTAAAATATTATTTTGTTGAAGAATGTGTCGTTAAAAATGAGTAGAAGAATGAGAATAAAAAATAATAATGTTTACCAAAAAGGGGCTAAATACTTCTCCAAAAAAATAAATAAAAAGTTAAAATTGAGAACGAGTACATAAATTTTTTAATTATCTTAACTTAAAGATGCTTTCTAAAATATATAAGAAAATTTTAATTATCTAAATTTAAAGATGCGTTCTAAAATATACTCTCTCCATCCCAATTATACAGGCTCCGTTTCCTTTTTCTCCTGTCTCAAATATATAGACGTGTTTCCTAATGTAGAATATTTTTTTGTGTTCCTTTATCAAATATACCCTTATTAAATTTTCACCACTTAATATGTCAATTTCTTGAAATCATTAAAATACACATATTTCCCACTTCTTGAAAATATGAAACAATTCTCATTTCTTTTTCTTCTTCAAATTCTTTATTAGTCCAATAATAATTTATTTTTAAATACTGAAAATTAAATATGGGTAAACTAGGTAAGATATTGACAAAAATTAATTTTTTAATGACATTAAAAAAGTTTCTTAATTCGT